TGGGCTGGGCTGGGATGGGATGGGATGGGCTGGGCTGGGCTGGGCTGGGCTGGGGAGCTGAGCTGGGCTGAGCTGGGCTGGGCTGGGCTGGGCAGCTGAGCTGGGCTGAGCCTCTGGCTGCTCCATGGCACTGCCAGGCGAAACACCCTGAGTGCGGAAAAGCAAAGAGAGGTGCAGGGAGAAGCCCCCGCAGTGCTTGAGTCCTCATCTCACGCACTCCAAAGCTCTGTGGCACCCAACTAATCCCTGTGCTTATTCCTTCCCTCCTCCCTGCCTCAGAAGAGGAAGAATGGATAGAGGAAGACGACGGTAGTTATTGCATCTTTCATGATTTCCTCTCTCTGCTGCTGGGATAAGTCACGGGTTCTGCCTCTCCCTGCTTGGGGAAAGGTTTTCTTTCATTCTTCCACTTCTCTCTCTTCTTCCTGCACTCCAGCTCTGCCCTGCTGTGTTGTGGTGTCCATCCTGTGTCTTTGCCTTGTCTCTCACATCTGCCAGCCATGGTTTGCTGTTTTTGCTGTCTTCTTTTCCTTCCCTTCTCTCTGGCAGTGGCACCCCAAGTGTCCCCAGGACCTGCGGGCCCAGCACCACTGCGGCTCCAGTGCAGGAATCCTGTGGGGACGCTGCTCCCTCCAGTGGAAAAAAGCTCCAGCAGTGTCACAAAAGAGCTTGGGAAGGTGCTGAAGGCGCATCCTCAGCTGCTCCTGGAGCACAGTGCTAGAGTACAGCAGTGGAAATCCCTCCTCTCTTCCTGGGGTGTGAGGGCATGGCAGCACGAAAGCAAATGAGGGACAAGTCAGGAGGTGGCGATAAATCCTTTAATGTCATTAATTTGGGGGATTATGCCCTGCCCGAACACAGAGCAGCCATTGGGTACAGGTTACAGGGGAGTCCTTTGCTTCCCGAACTGCTGCTCCTCTCCCGTGGCTGCGGCTCTCGGCTCTCTCCCGGCTCTCTCCCGTTTCTCTCTCGGTCCCCGGCTCTCTCATGGCTCTCTCTCTCGGTTCCTGGGTCTGTCCCGGCTCTCTCCCGACCCTCTCTCAGTTCACGGCTCTCTCCCAGCTCTCTCTTGGTTCCCGGCTCTCTCCCGGCTCTCTCCCGGCTCCCTCTCAGCTCCTGGGTCTTTCCCGGGTCTCTCCCGGCTCTCTCTCGGTTCCCGGCTCTCTCCCGGCTCTCTGTGGGCTCCGTGCCCGTTATCGCGAACCAGGAGCCGCAGGGAGCCGGGAATGGTTCTGCCAGACTCACCCTATCCCTCATCCCACAGGGCAGGAGGAGCAGTTAGAGGAGGCGGAGGAGGAGAGCAAGGAAACCAAGGCAGAAGGTGAGTGGAGGCTGTGCCAGGGAATTCCTGAGGCACGGCTGGGCCCTGCTCTGCTCCAGGGGCTGCCAGCTGGTGGCTGGCATGTCCCAGTGTGGTTGTGACAGGGGGACATCAGCGCAGAGGGGCAGCTGTCCCCCAGGTCTGGTGTCCAGTGAGGGGGTGTCAGACTGAGACGCCCTTCCCTGCTCGGCCTGGGCCCTGCAAGGATCAGGACAACGGGGTTTGCTATGTCCAGCCCTCTGAAATAATGTTAAAATGGGCCCAGCCTGTCCCACCAGGGGGTCCCACAGCCTTAGAGGGGGGTTCCAAGGCTAGGATTGAGTTCTGATGTGTCTCACCATCAAAAGAGCCCTAGATTGCATGGGGTGGCTTTGGGGTGTATGGGGTGGCCTGGTGTGTGACCCTGGGCTGTCAGAGCTGCTGGGGCAGGCTCAGATCACAGCTGGGACCCTGAGCCAGGGTGCTGGGACCCCTCTGTGCTGGGGGATTTGGCTGCCCTCACCCTGGGGTGCTCATGTTCTCCCATTGCTTTGACACAGAACAAGAAGATGAAATGAAAGCAGCAGGAGAAGGTAAAGCAGGAGCAGAGGAGGGTGGGTTTGGCCATTCCAGTCCTGATCCTGGTCCCCCAAGACACTGGGCCCCTGTAATGGGGTTTTGCTGCTGAAGGGAGAATCTGCAGTAAACGGGGCAGAATTGCCATGGCCCCATCCTCCACCAGGACAGGGGCAGCGGGAGGGGTGGATTTGTGCTGCCTTGGGCAGAAATTCACCCGAAATACAGCAGAGAGAGTAGCACTGCTGCTTCTCCAGCCTGAACTCCTGCAAAACTTGTCTGGATTCCTCCTGGAGAGGACCTGGGGCTCTGCTGGCCCATCCTGAGGGATGTCCCTCAGGGACCTGCTCTCCCCACGTTCATCCTGCAGGGATGGAGCTGGGGTTTGCAGTGGGGACAAGCATGGGACCGAGGGGGACAGCCACTCCACGGTGTCCCTGGGCAGGACTGGCCACGGGGACACAAAGCCTCATCTTTTCCACAGGTGGAGAGGGTGACCGGGAGCAGGAGCCTGGGGAAGGTGAAGTATCAGCCTTGTTCCTTCTGCCCGGTTTAGGGCTCCCGGATGCTGCTCTGCTCACCAGGAGCACCAGCGGCACCTCGGGCACAGTGTGTCCCTGGCACAGGGATGGCACCTCACTGCTGGGGGATGATCCCTGGGGTGAAGCTCCTGCTGCTGCAAGAGAGGGATGGCTCGACTCAGGGTGGGGGGCTGGGTCAGGCTGTGACAGGAGACCCCGGTGACACTGACCTTGTCTTTTTGCCCTGCTCCTGGGACCTGCAGGTGAATCGAAGCCGAAACCCAAGTAAGTGTGACAGGGTTTTGTCTGGCGCAAGATGTGAGCTGTGCCAGGGCAGTGGCTCCTGTGACAGAGCCTGGTCCATAAAGGGCAGGGCACAGGGAGTGTCCAGAGCATGGGAGCAGCGGGGGACTGGGACATGGAGACAAAAGGGAGAAATGGCCAGGGAAACACAGAGCATGAAGGGACCCTGAGAGTGAGCTCTTTAGGCACCTGAGAGTGAGCTCTGTGTGCTCCTTGGGAGAAGCTGAGCTGTCCTGGGACCCTGCAGCTGGCAGAAATGTTTGTGTCTGTGTATGTGTGTGTGTGTGTTCTCTGTGTGTGCATATGCACGTGTGTACATGTGCACCCATCTGTGTGCATGTGTGCATCGGCATGTGCCTGCATGTGTGTGTACATGCGTGTGCATGTATGTGTGTATTTCTGTGTGTGTCTGTGCGTGCACGCGTGTGGCTGTGTTTGTCTGGGCGTGTGTGTGTGTTTTCTGTGTGTCTGTCTGTGTGTCCATCCTGTCCTGGATGGTGGCCCTGGCAGGGCCCGGGCTCTGCTGGTGGCCCTGGCCATGGTTGATGTGAGGCTCACGTTCCAGGAGCCGCAGCGTTCCCAGGGCAGACCCAAGGGAGCTGGGCTGGAAGCCACTGCAGGAGCCTGGGGGTGCTCCTGAGCCCCTGGGGGTGCTCCTGGGCCTTTGGGATGCTCCTGGCCCCCCCGGGGTCCTCCTAGCCCCTGGGGATGCTCCTGGTCCCCAGGGATGCTCCTGACCCTTGGGGTGCTCCTGACCCTTGGGGTGCTCCTGGGGATGCTCCTGAGCCCCTGGGGGTGCTCCTGGTCCCTGGGATGCTCCTGGGCCTTTGGGATGCTCCTGGACCTTTGGGATGCCCCTGACCCTTGGGGTGCTCCTGGGGATGCTCCTGGGCCCTTAGGGGTGCTCTTAGCCCCCAGAGCGCTGCAGTGTGGGAGCAGCTCTGCCCTCAGCCATCATCCCCTCATCCCTGGGTGTCCCTGCTGAGCATCTCCCACCCTCCACCATCCCCGGAGCAGGAGAGGTTCCAGCTCACTGTGCCAGGTCCCACTCTAGCACAGGAACGGCTCCTGCATTCCCTTTGGGGGAGCAGAGGGGTGGTGCCAGCTCAGGGGGCCTGGCACAGGGCCCTGGCCGCGCTGCCTGTGGCTCGCAGAGTTATTCCAGCCACGCGGGTGCCTTGGAGGGGCTGCCGGGAATGCCACGGGTCTTCCTGTGGGGCTGCCCAGCTGGCACTGCCGGCAGGATGCATTGCACTCTCTGCCCTCCAGCTGTGCCCACTCTGCATTCCTGGGGACAGAGGGGCTCGGAGGGGAGGGTGGGCTGGGTGAAAGGCACAGCCTGTCCTGGATCTGCTGCAGCCCCACTGTTCTCTGGCTCCCCTCCCATTGCAGGGTCTTCATGCCCAACCTGGTGCCTCCCAAAATCCCAGATGGCGAGAGACTGGATTTTGACGTAAGTTGTGCCCCCAGTTCCCACCCTGGGGTTGATGCCCTTCTGCTGCTCCCCCTCAGTGTCCAGCAGCTCCTGGAGGCCCCTGCTCTCTGTGTCCCATGCAGGACATTCACCGCAAGCGCATGGAGAAGGACCTGAATGAGCTGCAGGCCCTCATCGAAGCCCACTTTGAGAGCAGGAAGAAGGAGGAAGAGGAGCTCCTGAACCTCAAGGACAGGATTGTATGTGCTCAACCTTCCCCTCTCAGGCTACTGTCACCCTGTCCCTGTGGGTGCACAGCCACCGTCCCTTCCTGACCATCCTGGCAGACTGGGGACGTCCCCATCCCTGCAGGACAGGGCCTGAGGGTTGAGCCAGATTTTGTACCCCAGCACAGCCTGGGAACCATGGAACTCCCTGGGCTGTGAGGGATCCACAGGGATCACCCAGTCCAACCCCTGGCCCTGCACAGACACCCCAACAATCCCACCCTGGGCCTGGCAATGCTGTCCAAAAGCTCCTGGAGCTCTGGCAGCCTCGGGGCAGTGCCCATTCCCTGGGGTGCCTGGACAGTGCCCAGCACCCTCTGGGAGAAGATCCTTTCACTGCTCTCCAGCTGGACCCTGCCCTGACCCAGCTCCAGCAGTTCCCTCCCTGTTCCTGCTCACTGGGATGTCCCTGCTCTGGCTGCTGCAACGTTGTCTGATGTGGATGCACCTCTCTCCGGGGTTGCTGTCCCCGGGCTTCCTGGGGGCTCTCAGGGCTCTTGGGGTCATGGATGTGTCCCTCAGAGCAGAGGACGCAGATTCTCTGCGCTGTCCGAGCCAAGGTACCGTCCCTGTGCAGGAGCAGCGGCGGGCGGAGCGGGCAGAGCAGCAGCGGATCCGCAGCGAGCGGGAGAAGGAGCGCCAGGCCCGCATGGCCGTGAGTGTCACTGCAAAGAGCCTGGGATGGGCCTGGAGAGCCTGGGGACACGAGCTGCGTGTCCATCCGCTCCTGACCGAGCTCTGACCCTGGCAGGAGGAAAGGGCTCGCAAGGAGGAGGAGGAGGCGCGGAAGAGGGCAGAGGAGGAGGCGCGGAAGAAGAAGGCGTTCTCCAACATGCTGCACTTTGGGGGCTACATGCAGAAGGTGGGACCCCAGCCCACCGTGGGGGCTGCTCCTGGGAAGGGCTTGGCCACAGGGCTGACCTCGCCCCTGGGACACTGCGGGGTTCATAGGCAGGACTGGGCAGGGAACTGCTCTTGGGGCAGGGGTTACAGGGCCAAAGCAAGCTCAGAGCTGTCCTGAGCTCAGCTCTGCTCTGCAGATGTGCAGCTCCAGCCTTGCCTCAGGGACAAGGATGGGTGTGGGGACAAGGACAAGGTTCACTTAATTGGGTTCCCCCAATAGGGAAAAAGTCCACTATTGCCAAAATGTCTTTGAGGATCGCATGTGCTTCTGAAGTCCCAAAAGCTGAGGGTGTTTGGCACAGAACTGGGGATGGGGGAGAGCAAGGCTGGGCAGATTCCCTTCTCTCCAGTGGACTGATGGTTTCCTCAGTCAGAGAAAAAGGGTGGGAAGAAGCAAACGGAGCGGGAAAAGAAGAAGAAGATCCTCAGTGAGCGACGGAAGCCCCTGAACATCGACCACCTCAGCGAGGACAAGCTGAGGTGAGCACAGGCTGCGGGAGGAACCGTCAGGGCAGGAGCTCCRTGCTGGGTGCCAGCTCCTGGGCAGGATCCTGGGCTGGGGACAGCTCCCTGGGGCTTCCAGCCAAGGGGGAGGGCACAGCTGGGGATGGGCTGTGACACCCCACGGGGACATGGGCACCAAGGCTGCGCAGGGCCACCATGGCTAGGCTGCGGCTGATGGCACCAGCCATGAGAGGGAGCCAGGCTCACATGRGTGGGACCTTCCCCGTGGCTCCGGTCCCTGGATTCATGTCCAGGGTAACACATCCCTGACTGGGAGCCTCCCGAGCCCCATCCCAGGGAGCAAGTGAGCGGCTGGCATCTGTGCACCTCCCTGCACTGAGCTCCCTGGGAGCCACTGCCCTTCCCTGCACCGTCCCCAGCTGGCTCTTCCCATAGGGAAAAGGCCAAGGAGCTGTGGCAGAACATCCATGACCTGGAGGCTGAGAAGTTTGACCTGCAGGAGAAGTTCAAGCGGCAGAAATACGAGGTGAGCCCACAGGGTGGTGGCCTCTGTAATTTGCGCCCCGTCTGTGTTCCTGGCTGCTCCTCCTGCTCCCCATCCAGGAGATGAGCTGGGGTGTTCAGGTGGGCTCCCAGCTCCTGGGGACGTGTGCCGGGCACCAGCACAGGGCACACATATCACAGCCAGGCTGGATGGAGCCCTGAGACACCTGGGACAGTGGAAGGTGTCCCTACCCATGGGCAGGGGGTGGATTGAGATGGGCTTGAAGGTCCCTTCCAACCCCAGCCATCCTGGGATTCTGAACCCCACAGAAAAACCACTGGGGAAGAGAGAGCAGTGATGTATCTTCACTCGACTCTCATGTCCAGCCTGGGGCACCTTGCCAGACCTCACCACCCTCCTGCAGTTTTTCTTGCCAGACTGAGCTCACCACCTACCATTTTTTCTTGCAGATCAACGTCCTCCGAAACCGTATCAGCGACCATCAGAAAGTGTAAGTGGCTGCACATCCCTCTGTGACATCTCCTGTCCTTCCAGGCCCCTGCTCCCCAGTTCCCTCCCTGTGGATGTCCCCTGCTAAGCCACCTCCTCCCCCTCCCACTCCTGCCTCCGGTCCCATTGGTACCTGGTGTTCCTGGACCTGCACATCTGTCCCAGGGATCTCAGGCAGGCCCTGCCCTTCTGCTCCTGATAGACCTCCATGGCTTCCCCCTGCCCAGAGACCCCGGCTGGGATGGACCCCGGGGAGACCCCACCTCTGAGGGGGTGTCCCAGTCTCCCACCACTCACCCCTGCAGGGGCTCTGCCCAGCATCTTAGGAAGGGGTGTTGGAGATCCCAGCTTGTCCAGCAGGGAAAATCCCATGGGCTGTGGGATTTGTGCAGCCCCGCAAGGCCAGGGGAGCCTGTCCCTGTGCCCATGTTCCCTGGGGGACACACAGCTGGGGGACCCATAGCAGGAGGGTGGAGGAGGGTGTTTAACCCCCTCTTTGAGGAGCAGCCCGGCGCACTCACATCCCCGTCCCACCCCGCCCGACGTGGGAGGTGCTCAGCCGACCTCGGCTGTCAGGGGCAGCACCTCCCACCTGCTTACACCAAACCTCCCTTCTCTCCTGCCCGACCACGGCCTGATCCTGCAGCAAAGGGTGAGTACAGGCATTTCTGAGAGCTCTGCGTGTCTCTGCACAGGTGCTCTGTGTGTGTTCCTTCACAGGTGCTGTGTGTTGTCCCCACGCACAGGCTCTGTGTGTCCCCATGCACAGGCTCTGTATGTGTCCCCACGCACAGGCTCTGTGTGTCCCCATGCACAGGTTCTGTGTGTCCTCATGCACAGGCTCTGTGTGTCCCCACGCACAAGGTCTTTGTCCCCATGCACAGGCTCTTTGTGTCCCCACGCACAGGTGCTGTGTGTGTGTTCCTTCACAGGTGCTGTGTGTGTCCCCATGCACAGGCTCTGTGTGTCCCCACGCACAAGGTCTTTGTCCCCATGCACAGGCTCTTAGTGTCCCCACGCACAGGTGCTGTGTCCACATGCACAGGCTCAGTGTGTCCCCGTGCACAGGCTGAGTGTGTCCCCATGCGCAGGTGCTCTGTGTGTCCCCATGCACAGGCTCTGTGTCCCCATGCACAGGTTCTCTGTGTGTCCCCATGCACAGGTGCTCAGTGTGTCCCCATGCACAGGTGCTGTGTCCCCATGCAAAGGCTCAGTGTGTCCCCATGCACAAGTGCTCAGTGTGTCCCCACGCACAGGTTCTCTGTGTCCCCACGCACAGGTTCTCTGTGTCCCCACGCACAGGTGCTGTGTCCCTGCACAGGTTCTCTCAGTGTGTCCCCATGCACAGGTGCTGTGTCCCTGCACAGGTTCTCTCTGTGTGTCCCCCTGCACAGGTTCTCTCAGTGTATCCCCATGCACAGGTGGTCTGTGTGTCCCCACGCACAGGCTCTGTATCCCCATGCGCAGGTGCTCTGTGTGTCCCCATGCACAGGCTCTGTGTGTCCCCATGTACAGGCTCTGTGTCCCCATGTACAGGCTCTGTGTGTCTCCATGCACAGGCTCTGTGCGTCCCCATGCACACACTCAGTGTGTCCCCATGCACAGGTGCTGTGTCCCTGCACAGGTTCTCTCAGTGTGTCCCCATGCACAGGTGCTGTGTCCCTGCACAGGTTCTCTCTGTGTGTCCCCATGCACAGGTGCTGTGTCCCTGCACAGGTTCTCTCTGTGTGTCCCCATGCACAGGTTCTCTCAGTGTATCCCCATGCACAGGTGGTCTGTGTGTCCCCACGCACAGGCTCTGTATCCCCATGCACAGGTGGTCTGTGTGTCCCCATGCACAGGCTCAGTGTCCCCATGCACAGGGTCTGTGTCCCCATGCACAGGTGCTCTGTGTGTCCCCATGCACAGGTGCTGTGTGTCCCCATGCACAGGCTCTGTGTGTCCCCATGCACAGGTGCTGCGTCCCTGCACAGGTTTTCTCTGTGTGTCCTCATGCACAGGCTCTGTGTCCATGCACAGGTTCTCTCTGTGTGTCCCCATGCACAGGTTCTCTCTGTGTATCCCCATGCACAGGTGGTCTGTGTGTCCCCACGCACAGGCTCTGTGTCCCCACGCACAGGTTCTCTGTGTGTCCCCATGCACAGGTGCTGTGTGTCCCCATGCACAGGCTCTGTGTGTCCCCATGCACAGATGCTGTGTCCCTGCACAGGTTCTCTCTGTGTGTCCCACCCTGTGAGCGTTGCCGGACCCTGGACTCCCGGGTAGGAGCATGGTTCAGGGACAGGGCAATGCCAAGGATTGGTGGCCAAAGCTAGAAATGCCCTCAGTGTCCCCCCAAACCTCCTTCTCCTCTTCCTCCTCTGTGCTGTCCTGTGCCCAAGCAGTGCCTGCTCTCCCTGTGCTGGTTTAGGGCACTTATGTGGCAGATCCTGAAGGATCCTGCAGCTGCTTTTACCCCTCTGCAGCCACAGATCTAACCTGTCAATTCTTCTCTGAACGCTTCTTGAGGGGCAGAAGATGGAACAGGGTATGTGGGTTCTTAAAACCGCCTGGCAGCTGCATGAGCTCCTTCCCATTGAGTCCCAAGGTGCTTTGACTCTGGTCCCAAGATTTTGCCTGGGGCCACTGAAGACCTTCACCCCCCAGGGCAGTGCACATCCAAAAAGAAAAGGCTGCAGGGCTGCTGACAGCCCCCATCTGATCCCCCTTTCGTGGTCACTGATGCCTTTAGCATTTGCTTTTCCTCTTCCCTTGCAGGTCCAAGGGTGCCCGAGGGAAGACCATGGTGGGCGGCCGGTGGAAATAGAGGCTCAGGGGGAGAGGAGTCCAAGCCCCGGGACCTGCAGTGGCTGCACAGAGCCCTGGCTGCAGGAATGGGGAGCTCTGGGAGCTTCAGGAGATCCCATCTCCACCCCCCAGTGCTGTTGTGTCTGTAAATAAAGTGGTGAGGGGGTGCAGGTGTGGTCTCCATCCTGAGGCTCTGACCCCCGAGGACACAACTCAGGTTCAGCACAGCTCAAGGAGTTGCCCAGCTGCTCCCCAGACTGTGAGAGGACACAGCAACACCCAGGAACCCCCAAGCAACTGTCCCTGTGCCCTCTGGCATCATCTCAGCTGCAGGCCTTGGCAGGTTTGGTGACAGACTCAGTGGTCTGGTTTTCCTGCTGCACTTTGGGGCAATCCTCATTACGGCCACTTCAGTTCTGCTTTTGCGGTGGGACAGCATGGACAGGGGCATTGTTTCCAAGCCTCTCGGCCCATGGAACAGTCACTAACTCCCCTTCCAGGCCCTCTTCATTCCTCTTTCTAGCTCTTGCTAAAGGCTCAGACAAGCCATGTTTGCCTCCCCTGCATGTTACTGACAGCAGGCAATGAAGCCTTGGCATAAAGCTGTGTGGAGAGGCCATTTCTCTGTGCTTTAGGGCTGGGAATGCCTGCAGCACCTCACTCCTGGGCTGTCCCTGGGGACACATCAGCTGCATACCCCCAGTGCTCCTGGTGGGTCTGGATCTGTGTCTGGGTCTGTGTCTGGATCTGGATCTGGGTCTGGGTCTGGGTCTAGGTCTGGGTCTGGGTCTGGGTCTGGGTCTAGGTCTGGGTCTGGGTCTGGGTCTGGGTCTGGGTCTGGGTCTGGCAGCCAGCCCACAGCACCAGAGGTCCTGGAAGGTTTGTACACACATTTCCTGAGGCAAGCTGTCCCCTGCTATTGATAAACAGTATACGTGAGGCCTTTCCCAGAGCAGTGGGGAAGGGAGGACACACAGGGTGGTGGATCTTGTCCCTTGGTGAGATGTTTTGTGTACCCCTTTGCTGGGGCTGCCTGTCTTCCCCATCCCCTGCCCAGTGATGTGGGCATCCCACAAGGTTTATCCCTTGTGCTCCTGTCAGATGAGGATTTATTTTCCCTACTGCAACACACGCCACCAGGTTTTGGGGAATAGGGCTCTGGGAAGCCTCAGACTCAGTGAGGCACAAGTGGAAGACAACCAGCTGCCCGCCACCCCCCCTTAAAACCGAGGTGTGGACGACAAAGGGCAGAGCTGGGGAAGGTGGCAGTGCTGGGACATGGAATTCCAGAAGGTGGCTGGCTGAGTGATGGCCCGGTGACATTGCCACCCTGCCTGAGGCACGGCAAGAGGACAACGCTCGGGGCAGGCAGCTGTGTCTGCCTGGGGAAAAAAAAAGATTCCGTTTTGTCAGGCTCTGAAGGTCTGTTCTCCCAACTCCCCCGGCAGTCGGAGGCTGGGCCGTGCCGGTGCCCGGTGCCGCTGTGCCCGTCCCTGCGGCTGGCAGCACCCAGGGCGGGGGTACCCGGGCACTCCCTGCTTCCCACAGCGCTGCCTGTCCCGGCAGCTCCCGGCCCCGCTCCAGCCCCGATCCCTGCGCCGGGCCCGAAATCTGCGCGCTCCGTCCCCACCCGGCGCCTCCCTCCCTCCCCCTGCGCGCTGCGCTGGCACCGCCGGGGCACCGGCCCGACCCTCCCCCGGCCCGACCCCACCCAGCTCGGCCATTCCCACTCCCAGGGAGCTGCTGCCGTACTCGGGAATGGCAGAGCGGGGGCAGGATGCTGCAGTCCTCTGGGACACGGCAGAGCACCCTGGGGTCTCCAGGGTGCTGGGAACATCCCAGGTGCTGCAGGGGCCGCGGAATGGTTGCAGTGACTCAGGAGGCTGTGCTGGAGCGTGGCACGGGCTCTGTGCTGGTGCTGGGAGAGGCTCTGCCCTGGACCCCTCCTCAGGGACTGCAGCTCCTCCCGAGGGGCAGCTCTGATCTCTGCTCTCTGTCAGCAGGGACAGGACCAGGGAACCGCTGGAGCTGTGTCAGGGCAGGGTCCGGCTGGATCTCAGGGAAAGATTCTTCCCCCAGAGGGTGCTGGGCACTGCCCAGGCTCCCTAGGGAATGGGCACGGCCCCGAGGCTGCCTGAGCTCCCGGAGTGTTTGGACAGCACTGCCAGGGATATCCAGGGTGGGATTGTTGGGGTGTCTGTGCAGGGTCAGGGGTTGGACTGGATGATTCCTGTCCAGCTCAGGACGTTCCAGAATTCTGTGGTGTGCTGCTGTCCCCTCATGGGGCACACGAGTGAGTCTGAGGCAGCACASCAGAGCAGGGACTGTCCCCAGAGCTGAGCGCAGAACGAGGGACCCCAGAGCAGCTTGGGGAAGAGTGGTGCAGGGTGTTCACAGTCTTGAAGGGCTTCATTGTGGAGATCTGAGCAACCTAGTTTTGGGAAGGTGTCCCTGCCCAGGGCAGGGGTGGGGTGGGATGAGCTTTAAGCTCCCTTCCAACCCAGCCCATTCCATGGTTCAGTGATTCCATGATCGCCGTGCTCTGGTATCCTCCTGCTCTGCTCTGCGGCTCACTGTCCCCTCTGGCTTCCTCCAGTGTGAGGGGCAGGGAGCTGTGCCCTTCCCCAGCAGAGCACCTTCCTGGGAGCTGTGAGGTGAACCATCCCTGACAGGCTGCAGAGGGGTAGCATCTCTGCCACAGCATGTGCACCGAGTCATGGAATTCCCTGCCTTGCAAGGGGCCCACAAGGATCAGCAAGCCCAGCTCCAGCTGCAGCTCCATCATGTGGCCCTTGGAGGAGCAGCCCATGCAGCACAGCCCATGGGAACAGTGTCTGCTCTGGGGGTTCTAGAGCCCCAGCACCAGGGTCTGTGTCCCATGGAGCCTGTGCCGTGCAAGGCCCTTGGCTCCTCCATGGAGACCCTGGAGGAGTTGCAGTAGGGTTGGGCACACAGGGGGCTGGCAGGAGTTAAAAGCTCCAGAGGCTGCTGCCAGCCCAGGGTACAACCCTTCCTCCTCCCAGAGTCCAGCACAGGTGTCCCAGCACTGCTGAGGAGCCCAACCTGCAGCAGACCTGTGCCAGGGCTCACAAACCTGCAGCTCGTTGTCTGTCCATGCACTGCCATGCCAGGGCCCTCCCCAGGGTCCCACTGTCCCCACGGGATGGGGTGGGTGTGAGGGAGGATACATTTGGTACTGAGAAGGTGTTGATACATCCTGGGATGATGTTTGGGGTTGGGCTTTTGGCTGGGGCTGAGGCAGCCCTGGGCTCTTGTCTGGCTGCTCGAGAACCAGAGGAAAGCCGTGGGGAAAACAGACACTGCAGAGTCTGGTGCTGCCCCTGCACACTCAGGAGCTGCTCGTAGCTCTGGCCAGCTCCCGTTAGCCAGGGCTGCTCCAGGCAGCACAGGACGTACTGGGATTGCTGTCCAGGGGCCATCAGGCCACTGCCTGTCCCAAGGAGCCAGGCCATGCACGTGCCCACACTCCCAGCATTATGGGCCACAATGGGGCTGCAGTGGCCCCTGGACCCTGTGGGACAATGGAGCAGGAGCTCTTGGAGCTGCAATACTGCCAGGGCCCTGGGGTCTCACCTGTGGGATGTGGAGCTCTCAGTGGGGCAGTCAGCTGGGGCACAGAGCAAGGGATCCCCTCAGCCCCTGCTCGGAGATGGCAGAGCGTGGGATGGTGGAGGCTGGGAGGGACCAAGGGAGGTTCTTTAGGATGGACCTGAGTCAGGGCAGGGTCAGGCTGGATCTCAGGGAAAGGCTCTTCCCCCAGAGGGTGCTGGGCACTGCCCAGGCTCCCCAGGGAATGGGCACAGCCCCGAGGCTGCCAGAGCTCCAGGAGCATTTGGACAATGCTCTCGGGCCCCGGGTGGGATTGTTGGGGTGTCTGTGCAGGGCCAGGGGTTGGACTGGGTGATCCTTGTGCATCCCTTCCAACCCAGGAAGTTCCATGATTCTGTGATTCTGTGATCCAGTCCCACCTCCCTGCTCAAGCAGGGAGATATTGGGGCATTGTTACCCCTCAGGCACATCCCAGGGAGGGAGGGCTGCTCTGCCCCTCCTGCCTGTCCCCCTGGAGAGCTCATCACTCCCACTCCTGGTGCAGGATGGGGATCCTGGGTCCTGTGGGGCTGGGGAGGGGGAGCAGCACTGCAGGGTAACACCCCTGACTCCCGTGCTCGTGGTGGGTTGGGGCTGGCACAGTCCCCGCTGCCCAGGTCTGGGTTTTGGTGCCATCCAGGGCAGGTGACACTGGATACCATTGCTGCGGGTGCCCGGCATTGCCTGTCCTTCAGCATGTCCTGTGGCATTCACAGCTTCCAGCATCCATGAATTCATGCACAGGGTGGCTGTGTGGCCCTGATCCACAGTGCCACTGTCCCCATGTAAAGCAGTGGGTGCCCAGCCTCCAGCTCAAGCCAAAGCCAAATGACAACCCAAAACTGCAGAAAATGGAGCAGTACGACCCTGGATTTCATGCAGCTCAGGTGCAGCAACCACCTGTAGATTAAAAGACAGAAAAAGGACATAAATGCTGAATTTTGCAGCACCTTCCAGATGTGGAGCCCTTACCCTCAGAGTCCCAAGCCCTAGTGTTGCTGTGCTCCTCACACAGCCCCTGCAGGGCAGCTCCGTTTGCTCCTGCAAACACCTGAGTTTGCAAGTTTCTCAGGATTGTTTTTAAATGCCTTATAAAACTTCCAGTTTCATGGAGTGCCTTAGCCCTGTAACTCACTGCCCGTAGCAGCTAATTCACAGCTCTCACTTAATGGCCTTTAATTGGTTAAAGTCACCCTTGGTTTCTGCTGATTCCACAGATGTGTTAAGTCACCGGTGAAGTCTTTAACGCACCCCAAGCCCGGTTTGGGTTTGGCACCTGCACAATGCCCCGTGTCGGTGAGAGCAGCCCCGCTGACACAGCAGGCGGTGATGTTCCACCATGGAAGGAAGAGGCTTTGGCTCTGTCTGGAGCAGCATTTTATTGGCACTCAGTGGAAGGAAAATGAGCTTCCTGGTGGTGTGTGAATCACTGCCCTGCGTGTGCACTCATGCCCTGGTTTCAGTGCGGGGCCTGGGTGGAAACCCCACTCCTCAGTGCAAGGCAGCAGCCCCAGTGGGAGCAGTGAGGGGCTGGGTCCTGCCTGGAGCTGGGACCCCTGCCTTGCCCAGCTCTGCATCCCTGAGGACCCCGACTGGTGAAGGTGGTGCTGAACTCCAGAGCCATCCCTGCAGCCACAGGCCAGGGAATGGCACAAGGACATTTAGGGCACTGCAGGGAATTGGTCCTGCTCAGCCCCAGATCCCAAACCACTGCCCTGCCCAAAGGCACACGGAGATGGGACTGACCCATGGAGATGGGACTGACTCCACACAGATGGGACTGACCCCACGGGGATGGGATTGACCCCACAGGGATAGGACTGACCACATAGACAGGGGACTGACCCGACAGAGGTGGGACTGACCCCACCAAGATAGGACTGACCCCACAGAGATGGGACTGACCCCACAGAAGTGGGACTGACCCCAGCTCAGCTGCTCTCGAGGCTCTGCAGGAGCAGTGAGTGTGAGACAGGA